AGCAACACTACACACTCAAAGTCTGATGTATGCACATCAAAGTTTTAGCGGAAAAATCATATTACAACAGTTCAGTACAGCCATTGAAAGATCATTTATATATGCATGCTCACATTCCAGCGTTGTAAATATTCAAACACCTTATTTGGAGACCATTAATCTTAGAGGGAAAGGTGCTATCACCCCTGTTTCATTGGGACATGGCATTCTCAGCAGAGATGGTACCTAATGCTCTGCCTGCCAATAGTGCCATAAGATTGAGCCAAGAGAATTTCAGCATATTGTACACAAGCTGTTCATCCTCTGAGAATTTTACAGACTTTTAGCTCTCCTTTTCCCTTGCTGTTGCCTTATTTTTCTCATTCCTCCCTTTTTCTCCAGCCATCATTTTCCAAATCCTATTCTTTCTAGAGCCCTTGAAATCTTGTTTCAAGTTTCTGACTCCTGCAGTGGCATAAGATCATCAACAAACATGATGTTAGTTATCACTAAAGAAAGGCACATCCCTAGGAAATGTCTACCTTGCCTAATTTACCTAATCTGAGATAAAAGAGACTCCATCTCAGGGTAGACTTCACTCAATCCTGATTCCTCCTTTCATCAGAAAAGACAGTTTCTAGATAAAAACAACAGGGTAAATTTCACCATTCTTGTACTGCATGATACCACCAAAGCAAGCACAAATGGTGCACCTCCTTGGCCAGGGGTCTTCTCTGCTTTTCATTTAGTCCTCTTGGCACGGAATTTGCATGCTCACCAGTTTCAAAATTTCTGCTTATCTTCCCTGTTCAGGAATATCAATAGATGTCCAACTTCATGAGTTAAAGTTTCTGCAGAATCCTCCTGCTTCTCCCAGTCAAAGTTCTCATCAAAGCTTTTCTTGTCTCTATCCCATTGACACAGAAAGAAGATTGTGTGCCAGTGCCCCCTTTATAAATTGTTTTCATTTTGTTATTCCCAGCTCTGCTGGGTGTGGCAAATACTCCCATTTATCTGCAAACATCTACCGCTATCTCAGCTGACATCTTGTCAGAGCCTATTTTTCCTTTTCACACCTAACTCCAAATTTATTTGTGTGACAGCTTCAGAGAAACCCCAATGACCTCACAAACAGGCTGTCATAAGATGTAAGAAATCAGAGGCTTTAGAAGAGGAACTGTACTCTCTCTCCATTTTTGTTTAATATCAAGAACTTCTAGCAGTCTTCTAGCCTGTTATATTCCCTTACATTTCAGGAAGCTTAAGCCACCCTTGGGTAGTCCCTTTGATGAGATATTATCTTATTTAATGTCTGGGATGGATTGAAGGAGCTTAATCCAGCTGCATAGATACAGCTATTTAGTGGCATTTGAGATATCATAAGAGTACTCCAGAAGCCTCTGGGAACAGAATACAATACTGGACCTATGGGAAACACACACCTCTCTGAATTGACAGGTTAAGCCGTGCAGGATATCTGAGGGATTTTCATTTCTGTATTCAGCTAACTGAGTTGACAGTGAAGTCACACATTCTATGAACAGCACTGCTTGAGACTGGCAAGATTTCCAAACTTAAAGATCTGAAAGGGAAAATTTGCTCTTTAGTCACTGCCCCTGGGAAGACTAAAATAGTGTTTGAGCCATAAGCTCTCAAGGTTTGCAAGCCAATCATCAGCTCTAACCCCATTTCCTTCTCCATCACCTTTTGCCTTCTGGCAATCCTTTGGCCAAGGACCAGGAAGGTCCTATCTTTATGTTTCTTCTGGCTCCCCCAAGTCTAGGGCCCTTCCTATTACAACTGGCAGGAGGTGGTTTCCCTCACAGCCTGAAGAACTGGCTGTGAGGGAAGAACTATAAATCAAACAAGTCCTTAGGGCAGAGAAAGGGGGCTTGATGCTAAAAAAATAATGAGACCAGTCAGAACAAGCCACTGAACGGCTGCTTTAGCAGTAATCCCACTCTTACTGCAGAGGGGAGGCTGGCTTGCTTTTCTTATGTATTTTAACAGTGTGATTCCCCTTGTCATGGAAAGACCTTCCATTTGCAGCAGATGAAGGTCATTATCATTACAAAACACTCTCCCCTGGATTACTGCAGCTCCAAGATACTTGCTTGACTGTGGAAAATGACTGAGAAGGATTCTCACACCATAGCCATAAAATTTGTTGTTTATGGAAGATTTCCTGATAAAACTCTGAATATCCCTCAGACACAGAGACTCGACTCAATGTCTGCCAGGCACAGTCCAAGCTTCTTTCCCTGGTGGTGCAACCTGATGGATATTTATAGGGAGCATCATTTAAATAAATCTCCCTTAGTGACAGACACCTCTAGCATGGTGCTTACTTACCATCATCCTACTGCCCTGCACTTGCTCAAGACCTTTCACGTGATGCTAGTCACTAGAAAAAAAAGTAGCTACTCTTCAATCTTGTTTGAATATAATGCTCTGTAATGAGGAATACATCAGCAGATGTTTTAAAGAAACTGGAGGAGAAAGCCAGATGCTGCACCTGGCAGCAATGCCCTGCATGGGAGTATACCCTGCCGAGCATGCTTGAGCTGCTTTTGAAGAAGAATGCCTGGCTGGAAGGTGAAGGGACTTGGGCAGTCCAAAGGGCAGATATCATCCAGCTCAAAACATCACAGAAAGATTATCCTGGCAAGCAGCTGGATTTTCACATGAAGGAGTGAAAAGATTGGTTAAGGGTTTTATTAGTAGTAATAACTTTATTACTCTTCTCACATAAAATAAATGCCAGGTATAACAGTGAGACATTTCTGATCAGTAAACAATCTTTTTATCAGTTTCATGCCATTAACAATCCAAGGCTACACTGACAGAAAGCATACATGGCAGGGTGCCAGCTTATGGCTGCTCAGAAATAAAGCTCGATGCAGAAGTCAGCCGTGTGACTGGTAAGTAGGTCATCTGCTGGGAACAGATGTGCTCCCTCATCTGCATAGCTCTGCCAGTCGGCTTTGACCTGCAATGCCCTAAATGTCCTACTCTGCCTATCTAAAGCAGAGCGTGCTGGCCCAAGGGGACTGAGGATCCTTCACTAATTATTCTCCAAAGGTCGCCTTAACCTCGAATTCATTTTCCCCCTCTTTCACCTCAATTAATTTTGATGTGTTGGCTTCTGGTTCGCACAAGGCTGATTCATTCTTCCAGTCTTGGAAAAGGGATGAAGACAAGGGGATCTGGCTAACAGTAATTTGAATATAATTTGAGTTTGCCTGTGGTATTGGCTTCTAGATAAAATGTTCATTTTTTGAGACTAAGACAGTTTAACAGTTTCTATTTTTCATAGAGTAATCAGTGCAAAGGATTGGCAGGAAAGTGCCTTTATGTGTGTTCCTAAATGTACGGAATGAAAATCCCCACTGCTTTTGTTAAAAATAATATGAAACATTTTGTTCCATTTTGCAGATATGTAGTGACATAATTTAGGATCTCAGAGTCAGACATCGCTGCTTTCAATGTAGAAACACATTCAAAACTAACTTTTGATTCCCTCAAATTATGGAATACATTCCTAATCTTTAATAGGGCCCACAAGAGTTGATTCTTGCATTTATATTTGTATTTTATTTATAAATATATGTTCAGGATACAGGGAAAATGAGAGAGAGAGAAAGGAAACTTGTTTAGAGACATTCAGCATCCTCTCACCACCTTTAAGTTTTACCCTCATTTGCTTACAATATTCAGGCTGGCAAAAAAGGCCTAGGCCTTTAGAGGAGATGCAATATTTGTCTTTAATTTCTAAAGCAAACAAGTGTGACCAGTGCTGGCCTCAGGCAATGCAGTTTAAGAGCGGTGATTCCTGATGTGCAGAAGCACAGCAGAGAGCAGTTACACCCTCTCTACAGAAAAATGAAGTTTAGCAAGCAGTCCCTACAGGATCACTCCAAAGCCCTTCTCAATGAGCTCATAAGACAGAAAAGATCCACATGTGCCCTTTCCAAGCTTTAGCAGATAAAGGATGGCTAACTCTTGATGTGCACACAAAACCAGGAGCTTATAATTTCTTCTTTACTGGGTGTGAGACTGTTTATTGTTTTGCACCAAAGTCACAGGTTTCTTACTTCACACATGCTGCAAACTCTTCAACTAAAGCAGGCAAGAAGGGGCCTGTGTTTATTCCTGAACATATTAACTCAAAGGAAATAAACAGAAATCACTGAAATTTCTAAAAACCAATGCAAACATGTATTTGCATTTTGTATGGGAAACTACAGCCACCTTCAATCACAAGGGCAATATATGCAGAAATGCATCCAATAAACCACTCTTGTTCCCTAAATACAGGGCCTGGTAAACAGCAGGAGGAATATGGATAAGCTAAAGATTGATATCTACTTATGTATCTTCTTTATCACATTTGTACAATTGTTTAAATTTTACCATGTTTTAATTTCAGCGCAAAGAGGTGTGTGCAGCATTGGCAAACCTGGAACCTTAATGAATTTATGGAAGTGTATAAATTAATTAGGTTGCTTACAGGACAGTGATAACTCTCTGAATTCTCCAACTAAGGGAATACACAGCAACTGCATGCACAGATTTGCAAACATGCCCATGTATATCACACATCTACACAAACAGATTTTATATAACAAATGTGACAGTGGGATTTTTGTTACCAGCTCACATACCTCTTTGCATTCTTATTTGTACAGAGGCTTCAGCTAGTAGACATAATTCTCTATTGTTTTTTACTCTAATTGGAGGTATACAATCAAAAGCAGAATAGAAACATTGCATTTAAATAAACAGACAGTATTTTCTGTCCAATTTACAACTCTAAATGACAACAAATGTGCAAGGCATCCAGTATCGGGTTTAGCTCTGTTGTTGATACCTAAAAAAGTCAAGGGTCTGGCAACATGACAAGCTCTATGCAAAATGAGTTTAAATGGGATGAGATCCGTTCTCCCCTTTACTGGCTGGTGGCCTTATTGTCAACAGAGGAGCTGAAAGACTGAACTCTGTCAAGCACCAAAAAATCTTACCTCTACCTGCCCCTGGACACCATCAAGAGTATTTTCAGCAAAAGAAGATTTTCTGCTCTGTCCCCTCCTGTGGCCAAATTTGCATTTGTTCCTCAGGACTTGCTCGTCGTCCTCAATGGGTCTCCGCACATATTTGAAACGATCTTTAAGGGCCCGTTTCCACAGCAACTACAGGGGGGGAAAAATAGCTGTCATTACAAGTATCTGTCAAGAATTTGCCCCAGCCTAAAGCAGGTCAGTTTTTTTTTTAACTAACTCCACAAAAAAGTGTTTGCCATTAAGCAGAAAAAGGCTCACAGGGCAACACCAGTGTTGGCTTCAGGATGGAAGGAAACAAAAGCACCCGTGGTAGATGGCTCTACAGCAACAACAGCTGGGCTAATGCCACTGCTGTGGCTTGCTGAGGACAACAGTAATTGAATCTAAGGGTTACATCTGTCCTAGGCTACCAGTGAAACTGCACTGTTGTCCCCTCCTCAGCTCTTACTTTATGCTCCATTCATGAGCATAGTTGAGTTGTGAAACTGCATAGTGAAGCACATCAGCTCACAGATACAACAGAAACTGCTGTGGGGTTGGAGGGGGGGTAGGGGTTGGTGGTTTGTTTTGGTTTTTTTTTTAGTTTAGGGTATTATTTTTATTTTGCCTCTGGCAGTATCTAACTGGTTGCACAGTTTCATGATTATTGTGTCCAACAGAATGGGAGTGGGAAAGACACAGTGTGGCACTGCCTTTTGCTGGGAGTCTACAGTTATACTGGATCAAGGGTATTTTTAAACTGAACTCAAAACTGCTGAATTAAGACAATCATTTAAAAAGGTCCTAGCATTTCTAAGACACCTCAAGGTATGTAAAGTGCAACTTAAAGGCATTTCTGCATTGCAAGCAGATGCAGGTCCTGTTTAACGCAGCCATTCATCACTCCTTGGCAGTCAAAGGCAGAGCTTACATGGCCCCAGTGCTTCTGTCACCCTCTTGTATTTCTTTATTCATTTATTGAAAAGTCACTGCTGAAAGTTGTAGGGACAGCAACTTCCTCATGCATCCTTAAGGACCAATGGCCATTTGCATGTGGCCCAAAGCTGAATGTCCCATGGCAGGAGCTAGCCATGACATTGACACCCCAGAAAGCAATTTCTAAGCAAAGGCTGTTCAACATATCTGCAGGCACAACCTGCAGTTTTGAACAGTTTTGTCATTCCTCAAAAGCAGTAGCATATTCCAGCTACTGGGGAGTGTTCAAGAGTCAGATGGAAAAAAATCAGTCAGAAAGTGACTGTAAATTAAAAGATGGGGAGGAATTAAAATATCTGTCACTTTGTTTTCTAAAACTGACTCCAATATTACACTCACTTAATACTATACTCAAGCCTGCCCCTGGACACCGCCAAGAGTCATGCTGACCACTGACATGCTGAAACACAATGTAAACAGAAGAATGATTACCCTACATTTCTTACCAAAATGGTGGCATTTATTAGTCAAGATCACATGATATGAAAGGCTAACTTAGTGTAAACCAGAATTCAGTAGAAGTAGACTAAGTAGTACAGTATCTCTCTTCTCACTCACAGGATACAGATGAGAGGGTTTCTCAAGAGATGGTGGTGAAAGCAGTGTGACCTTGCACTTCTCCTGCCAAGCTTACAGTTCCCACTTCCCCAGGTTCTAGCTGACCTACAGGCCCTCAATCCTAAAAGCAAGACCTCCATTAATGGTGAAAAATTAGAATGGAAGAGCTATGAGACTACAACCCCTGTTGGTCTCTACTTCAGCTCTTCTTGAGCAGCCCTGGGCCTACCAGGGCAGGAGCGCCCTTCTTAAGGGGACACTCTCTGCCACCCTCCTAGGTGCCCTTACCAAAGAATCTTTTCACAGCCAGCCACAGTTCAGCACCCAAGAACTGGAAAGAAAGCAAGCCCATCAGCATTTCTAGTATGCAAACTTCAGGCTTAGAGTTCTGCCAGAACAGAAGCCACATCAGCACTAACCTAAAGGTAATGACTAAAAATACAGTACAACTGCTCACCCAATCTTCTCACAAGGCATAGTCACTGCCTCAGGATGAGTATTACACCTCAGCACCATTTTCAGAAGCAGTAAGGTGACTACAGGCCTTGGAAATCCCACTTGTTGTTCACCTGAATCATTAAGGTCCCTAAGTACATTTATAGTTCTGGCCTTACGCATTTTGATGCAAATACCTCATCATTATATGCTTAGCAAAATTTATGCCTAGCTTGCTATTTTAAGGTTCCTAAGAAAAGCAAACAAAAACCTTAGTTTAATGCTTCTTTGAAGTGTTTAACAGATGTTACAGTATTTTAAAACATGATCATCCCAGAATATATTAGCAGCTGACAATTTAAGCATCCCTGTAGTTGAGCTTCACACAGCTTCTTTCTTTTGAAAATCTTTATTTGGCTAGAAAATATTTTTGCTTATTCTTTCACATGAAAGAATATGCTGACACCTATACAGGGCTTTTAATATCCCACAAAGTTGAAAACTTTCATTCTCCAGTTCCCCCAATAAATTAAGAATTTTAATTTAATCTATTTCTATAATGGGATTGTCATAAACTTAGGCAAGTCCCCTCTCACATACCTCTTTCCAGAATGAGACTGCAAGCACATACATTTATGTGGTTTCCCTTGTGGGTAATGCATGCTCTAAAAAGGATGCTTTTGTTACCATTTCTGAACCAACAATTTTATTTTCTTATCATTCTCCTGCTCTCCCCAGCTTCCCCCAAACACCACCATGGGAAGGTTTACCTTCCTGGTAAGGGAGTGGGAGGATTAGCCTGTGTCTATCTGACATAGGAGGGAAAGGATTACACACAGATTAAAATCAGTAATTTACTAGCAAATAATCACTTTGTGTGCAGCAGTTACATAAATGGGGCATGCCAGCAGTGGCACCCTGGGTTTCATAGGCACGAGCTCAAGGGAGCTGCTCATTGCAAAGCACAGCCAAAAGGGCAAGTGGTGTGGAGCAGGGAGCCCTCTCTCTCCCTTCCTCATGTCATGTTTTCTTGGAACCATACAATTTTCAAAAGGTTGGCTGAAATGAAACAGAATAAGGGGGATGATTCTTTCCAAATTGTTGGGTTTAAGCCTTGAAAAACAGACAAGCACAGACAAGTGCTTGCAAGTTGTCAAGAAAGAGTGTCATGCCAATTTCCTTTTGACTGCTCTGTTTATGACCTTCACTTTTTCTGCATAAGCTATATGTCTGTAACTTACAAATGTTGTACTGGTTACAATACACACCACAAATCTAATAAATTATTCCATGATTAAATGAAGATTTTTATTTTTTTTAAATGTCATATGTTAGTTTAGGATAGCATTGTTCTGCAAGTAGAAAGAAATACCATGGGAAAATTTCCTTATGTAGCCACTTTAAAGCACGCTTACCAAAAGTTAATCTTGGAATTAATTTCATTCCAGATACCTCACTTCTTAAATGAGTTTTACAATTAGTAGAAATTTTTTTCTAAATCATTATTTGCAATTTTAGATAATTCTTAATCCCTGCTTCTAGACTGACCTCATAAATAACATTATTTTAAAATTCAGAGTACATAAGTACAGAATTGTGAATAATCTACTAATAAATCTTGAAACCACAAACATATAATGACCCCTCATTTCAAGAGTATGAGATTGAAAATATTAGACTGCAGACACATATGGTTTAAATTATTTGTTTAAAATAATTTGGAGATGTAAATAAGTATTTTGGGAAACAAAACTCCAGTATTTTGGAGATGTAAATCCCCACAAACAAACCCCACCAAAAAAAAAAGGAATGTTTAAAGTTTTGCAAGTCATTTTTCTTTCCTGTCATGAAAATTCAGGTGGTAATTTAGGTGGTCTTATGTTTTCCTCTATGTTCCTCTATGTTTGCCAGAAATCTTTCCTTTTCCCACTTGTTAATTTCACCTCATTTCTGCAAAAATGTTGCAATAAAAGTGCTGACATTAACCGTTCAAAGCTTCTCCATCCACGCACACCAATAACATCAAGTTCTTTACATTCTGATTTTCTGCGCTTGGCCAGAAGAAAACATTAAGTCTGGAATCCCAAGATCCCTCCTGGGATGAGTTTTCCCTTTCCTCCCCCAGCAAGCGCAGCTGCCAGCCCTGCCCAGCCACACAGGCATGCACCCTGGCCAGGCAGAAACCCAGAACAGTTTCTGCTGCACTCTTCCAGCAGCCAGCACACATCCATGTCTGGCGAAGGGCTTTAAACTTAAGACTTGTGAGTTAAAATTAAAATCACACCCACCACTGGCAGACCCTCTCAGGACATCTCTCTAAGAACTACTGCTGCCTTCTGCAGAGCCCAGCAAATGCTGTGGCTGCTCCTCCACCCCCAAAGGCTGAGAAACTGCTTTCCTTTTAAGCATAACTGTAGAGTTAAAATGAATCTAGGAACTGAGACATGGCACAGCAATAAATAGCAAGCAGTAAATGAATGGCATTAACAATACAGTGGTATATTTTACATGGCAGAAAGGATAGTACTCAACAGAGAAGTGAGCTCCAGCACACCAGAGGGAACACAAAACTTGGTACTCCAAACAGCAGTCAGCCCTTTTGGTTTCTAAATGCACACAACAAGTTATAATTTCTTTTCAAAGTTGTAGGAAAAATAAGTCAAATCATTGAAAACAGTCTTGTTGGTATTCTAAATAGTCCCCAATGACTTTATTGCACTACCACTATTGGAAACCATTACTTTCAGAGGCCAGCCCAGCTGAATTGCCATGTTTGGTGTCTCCCATTTTCCAGCCTTACAAGACACAAAAAGTAGGTGGTTATTTCTCCTTTCCCAATGTTGACACCAAAACCACATTATACCAACTGCATCCCCAGAAGTTTATATATAAATGCTACTTAACAAAGAATGTAAGTAGCATTTTTGCTTGAAATACCACTCTCATGCTAGTTTTTCTTTCTACATTTAACTATCAGTCCCCTTTTCCTCTGAATTTTATTGATGGTCAATTTCTTAAATGTTTTCAATGTACTATTTTAAAAACTGTAATAATAACTACAACTGTTTAATTACTGTAGATAAACAATTTAAAGACATTCAAAACCTCTCAGTAATCAATATTTTACCTCTTACATTTTAATACTATTATCAGGAACAGAGGGCAACAATTATACTCCCTTAATAGCTGGAGGAGTTGGAAAAGAAAAGCCTATAAAATTTTTGCTTTTTTTAATTGCTGAAGAGCCTTTCAAGGAAAAAAGACTTGTCAAATTTTTTTTGCTGTTCATTTGCTTCTTAAAGGTATATGAATTCAATTTTACTGCAAGTCTTGTGATAAATACTTATGCATCTATTGTAGGGTTTGTTTTAAGCTGTTACTGTTGTAACACAACTGTCAGATCAAGAAAAAGGATGTATCTATAGTGCTTATGATCAAGAAGGAAGAACAGAGTGCCTAACGGTAGGCTCAATAAAAAATATTAATTAATTCTCACACCCTCCTCCAAATTTAAGAATGCAGGCATACAACTTTTGAGCAGGTTTTCCTCTCTCAACACAGGCAATGAAGAGGGGCTGGATCAGAAAGTGGTAGACTAGAAATACTGCAAACTGCTAATTCCATCTTCCTTGTTTACTTATTGCAGCTATTGCCAGAATGCTTTCTAGTATGAAGGGGGGAAAAGATCAAAAGATAAAGACCAATCACTCTGAAATCTCTCACAACTTCTGCCAGCACCAGTTCTGCCATCCATGCAGCAAGTAATGACTATTTCCCGAAGAACAGAGTTATAAGTAGTTTCCCTCAGCCTGTGGTCCTTCTGCAATTAAAGCCCTTTGAAAACCTAGCTTAAGAACCTCTGTTTAAAAACAATTTTTAAAAGTTAAAACTAAAAATTCTCTTTGGAACAAATTGAATATCATTCCAGCTCCTCATCATAGGGGGAGCCAGAGGAAGCCACAGCATTACTCAGGACCCTTCCCTAGGATCACCACTGGGGTATTCAGAGCCATATCCTGATTAAAAATGAGGACAGGCTGTTTCTCTCTGGTCCTTTCGCTCCCTTTCTTCTCTTTGAGATGTGTTTGTTTTCTTTAGTTCCTTCCCTTCAACGTGCCTGGGCTCAGGGGAGAACTAGAATAGTTACCCTTAAGCCTCAACTTTTTTATTTATTCCCAAAATTATTTTGCTTTCTACAGTATAATGGCATGTGAGATATATTTGAGTCCCCTCTGAGGCTCACAAGCTTTTACAAGATGGTATAAAAGAATCATATGGCAAAGCAATGATGTTAAGTGAGGCAACCACTGTCCTCCAAGAGCACAGACAGATATTCTAAATCAGAAGTGAAAAAAAGGTAGTTCAAATTTAAATAATCTCCTTCCACTGTTTTCTGCTATTTCCCCCAATGATATTCCAATATTTATTTTAATTCTTTTAAAATTAGACCTAGATTCCTTAAACCACTAGTATTACTGCATGCTGTAGTTTTATATCTAACACACAAACAATCACAATACATTGCAAGAGCATCGATCACATGTTAGTCTTCACACAGACAATTTTCTAAAGAGCTGGCTTCTTAGGTTTTAAAAATAGAAAAAAAATCAGATTTAATTTTATCCCTGGGCAGATATCAGCCCAGAAAGAAAGACAGGTCTGCATGATCTCATGGTAGCTTTGAGGTACAGCTATACCTGCGTTAATCTTTAATTGATATAATCAAATAAGAATGTGATTTGCAAAACACAGCCAAGTGTGTGTACTGTGAATAGAGCCAGCATATAAGAGATTGAAATTGATTTCCTCTGAACTAGATTATTTTCTCGTGATTGATTATGTAGGAAAAGCCCACAATACTTACAAAGCCATTCCCATCTTCATCAAGGAATGGGTATGCCTGGAGCAGAGCATTGACAACAATGTTATATTGCTGACTGTTCGGATACCTGTGCAAACAAGATGGAGATAGAAAAGAAATACTTGGTTTTCTAGACAGTATTCAACACTGGAGTCTATTTTGATCTAGATTAAATAACTTCTGACTATTTCTCAGGCAATCAGCTGCCCTGCAAATAACAAAGGGCAGAGCTTAAAGGCATGAAATCTTTCTATTGGTTTCAGTAGACGTCAGGCCCTTAGCCTCTTTTATTTAACCAAATATATTAGAGAATATCTTTACATCCATTTGAAAATTTATGTCTGCAGACAACAGGTCTGCCCCCAAATAAAGGTAATGGTGTTGACTTACAGTGATCCTTCCAGGTATTTTGTCATGTCTGCTTGTAAAAATTCAATAATTCTTATTCTCATACTGTGATCAGGGCATTTTTTTTCTGCTAATATGCACTTGACATCGTAAGGGAAGTCTGGCAAAACATAAGAACTTGTCCACTGCAACATCTTGTGTCTCACAAAAAATGATTTCAGGTTTTTTCTGTAAAAGAAAAGATTGTATTATCACCATCACATCTTTCTTCTATGGAAATGCAGGCAGGAGGGAAAGATAAATACATGGAAAAACACAACACAAGGGAAAGTTATTGCTATAGAAATTCAAGGCCTGCTGTCTTTGTTTCTGCATAAAGAATACCTACAAAAGCAGTGATCAATACACACAGAGTGAAAAAGCAGATGTCAAATATGGAATGTTATAACCAGCAGACAGTAGGAGGTGCTTCCTAACTGAAAGCAAAAGCAGAAGTCAGTGGGGGCTTGCTGCTGTTGCAAAACACCTTTTTCTGTCTTAATTTATAATGTTTCCTCTCTAGTAAGACAAACAGCTTAATTGAACAAAATACTATACATTACATTATTTAAGGTTGTCCTCCCACAGGGGAAGGCAAGGAAGGGATGAAGGCAGCTATCATCAGCTCATGGAAACAGAGCAGACACAGCCCAGCAGCTTCAGTCACAAGAACACCATGACCACAATTTACAGAAGTCACACCCTACCTGGGGTGAACCTGGGGCAGGTTATCACCACTGGCTGCCCAAACCCTAATTCTGAAAGAACACAGGAAAAAGTGGGTCCCAACAGCCAGTTATCATCTCAATACCTCCTTGAGCAGGTTGGTCTGTAATTCTCAACCTTTCTGACCTGTTTATGCTGCCACACCACCTTGGCATTTTTTAATGTGTCTTGTGGGCTATCAAAAACTCTACATCCCTGGTATAACTGCACCAATGCCAGCCCTACCACAAATGGCAATGCAGTGCTGAGGAAAAAAAATATACAGCTTCAGTACTGTGTTCTGCTCCCAGGCTCAGTAGAAGTACTCAGCACTACCATTCCTCCATGCAAAACAGGCACAAAGTGGTCAGCACTGCTGTCTTTTCAAGCTCACCAGATTCCATGGGACACAGATGGTTAACAGTAGATGCAGAGTGCAGTGAAGTTCTGTTTGCACTTTGAAGTCTTAAAAGAAGGCAAAGTTGTGCAGGAAGTGACAACATGTCCACATAGACACATTCATGTCCTTTTTTTGTGATAAATTAATATACAAATAGGAAAATAAAACCCAACTTGGATTCTGAAATCACTTGGAAATCCCTCCTATGCAAACAAAGTGCAGATGTTCAATGTAGCATCAGTGAGAGCTCTGCAACCTTAAAGTTTGCATCCTGTACCTTCACCAACTTTCCTGATGGAAGTGATGCACAGGCTGCAAGTTACTACATAATGTTTTCAGCATGCTACCATTTAATATAGCTCAAAAGTGGACAGAAGTTTAAAATTTACAGTACTTTTCATCTAAGCAGCACTGAAATTCCTTTTGTTAGTAATACCACTGAAGTCAAAAAGCCATTTCAAAAAGTGGAGGGGTTTATAGCAGGTTCCATTTGGGGACACTGGACTACATTCAGTCACCCGAGAAAATAAAAGTTTCTTGCAGTTGGGATGGCTAATAATCAGGGAATATGGCAACTCTCCCATCCACCAGTCCCTTCAACATTTGCCATGGCAACAAAAATACTCCAGGTTTCACTTATCTTCATTTATCTTACCTAACAAAAATAATTCCTTGCTCTCCAAACAAGATCAAAAATTCCTCTGGTCTCCACAGTGCGTGAGATTAAATATTTTACTAGTTTTAGGTGGACTCATGGCTGTTGGGAAGTCATATTAAACATGTGCTGTAATATTTCACAATGAAATACAAGCTTGTTTGCAAAGAGACACAACTCCACATAAACTTTATCCTCAGAAACACTCACATGCAAACTTGTTTAACTAAAAGAACAATTGAGTTCAGCTGTAATGCTGTCCTCTACGATCACAAGAGATTTTGGCTCTACACATAAATCCCAGTGCATGTACAGTTTTGAGATTTAGGTACAAATACATGTAGCCTGTTTCTGCTCACACCTCTTCTAGCTAACCTGCGGCAGAAATCAAAATCAAATTATATCAAAATCTTGAAATTGCAATAAAAAACCTCATAAAAATCTCAAAATCTCAAGTTACATCTTTTCCTGTCTCATTTCTTGAGGCTTTTGATTCTGCAGCTAAATGAATCCAATGGCTAGCTAAGGCAAAACTTCAGTGTCCCTCTTTCTCTGCTGTCACACATCTGAGTTATTTGCGCTCCTTTCTCACTGGTACTAGGAATCCTGCAGCAAGTTACAAGGAGCTACAGTGACAAAGTTCTTAATTATTCTTTTCATTTCGTTTTCTCACAGTTTAAGCCCCCAAAACGACTTCTCATGCAGTGAAAAAATACCAATTCAGATGAAGCAAACTGGTCTCTCTATGCTTAGCCACAGTAAGGAACTGCATCCCAAGAGGAACCTCCTCAGCAAGGAGACAACTATTCACAGATGTCGGATCTCAAGATCTCAGTCCTGAGGTGCTGAGCCACCGAGACCACCTTGGGGGTCTCGGGAGTCCTGGAATGTTGCCAGAAGTGTCTGGTAGCTGGACTTTGGTCCTACACAGGAGACGACAAGGATGAGGGCTTCACCGGGTGAATGGTGAAGGGATTAGCTAATTAGAGGGTGAGACACAGGGTTTAGGATTTATGTACAGGGGGGTTTAGAGGAGTAAGATGGAGGAATTGGGGTGTGTCCTGTCCTCCTTCTTCTTCCTCTTCTCCTCCATCTTCTTTGGCCATGGTGGCACTCTTGGATTGGTTATTACTGAGAGTGCACCCAGCAATGAGAATAAATGGTATTGGGGAAAAATGATAAATATTGTACACGTAACAATGGGTATAAAGATACGTGGCGGTCCGGAGGACGGACAGTGTGCTCATGGCTGACTGCTGAGCAGATCTCTGTTCGGCTGAAAGAACATCTTTTAGATAAACAATTAATAAACATAAAAACCGAAAGAAGAACTGAAGCCTCTTCTCGTCCTTCGATACGCGGGCTGCCCCAAGGCCACCTCGGGCCTTTCCAGGCCCCTCAAACAGCCGAGATAAACCGGACACACAGAGCTTTTACCACTCAGCTTTTGTAGATTGCCACTTTAATGTGCTCAGTCACAGTCCTGTCTCACACAGCTATTTCCTTCTTTGTCTCCATTGTAACCTTACTCTGCTCATGCACAGCATGTTTACTGAGACATGAGGCTATAAAACAGCATTATTTTGGGAGGAGCTGTTTGTCTCCTTCAGAAAAATGGAAAAATACCTCACAGCAAACCAGCCAACCAAACAAACAAAAAAAAAAAAACCAAACACCAAAAAACCTTACAAAGAGACCTCAAAGACCCATCTATTTGAATTATATAACCCCTGGCATCCCTAATCCCAGGGAATACCTTGTTTTACTGCCCAAAAGACAAAGAGATACACATTTGCAGTGTCACCCAGACCATTCAGTGATTGTTTTAGATTACACTGGAGAGAAGAGTGGGGAGTAAACACAGCATCATCTCTCCAAGTTCAGTGCCATGCAACACCACACAGACACACAGAGCCACCTGCATTAGCTGCAAAAAGTCAGTAAAAATAATCTTGGTATCAATACAGACAACTCAATCAAGATAGCTGTATACAGTGCCATAGATACTTAGAAACAAGTTCAAATACTAAATCATAATAAGACTGTTGTTTTTAAGCCTCCTGAGCATACTGTTAAGAAGGATCTATTTTGATCATTTAGGGGAAAATGTGATTTAAAGGCCAATTGAGCACACACAAATGTGCTGTGTGGCATGAGCTTTTCTTATTGTCTGCTAAAGTCTGTGAGTCAGGCACCCATTGCTCTATCTTGTATCAGCTCAGATCCCATTTAGTCAGAGGACATGGCAGTTAAGAAGAAATTTGCTGACATCAATGGGTTGTTCCCTTTTTGGTATATCCACATAAAACTCAGCACATAGGTGAAGTCTCAATAGATTCCCACTATTCACAAATGAAAGTCTAACCTTTCACCTGTCTACATCACACATCAGCAAGAGACTCTGATCTGAAGGTTTGTAGCCTGGAAGTCCATGTCAACAAATCCAAGGAAGAAACAGAGGAGAAAACAAGGAACATGCAGATGTGAAAGAAAGAAAAAGTCTTCAGCTGTAAAAAACATTCCATTTCCCTAATACATGTATAATATGCTTTCAATTTTATGACAACATTCAAAGTTGCAAAGGCTATTTCCATCAAAAGGAAGAAATTCTGACAGAAGATGAAATATCAAAAAAACTCTTCTTCCTGTCAATAGTCAGATAAAAAGGGCTCTATTTTTTTGTTCTCAATTCTGATATCTGTGCCTGAAAGATCCTCATGCCATTCTCTTTTAGTGATTCAACGTCATTTCCAACGTTTGAGCACAAATACAAGGTTTCCCAGTTATTCCCTCAAGCCTGGGATTTGCAGTGTACCTAGTGCTTGATGCTGGCCTCTATTTTTTAGTTCCCACTAAACATAAAGGCAGGTATCTTTTAGACCGAAAAAGAAGTTACCCACAATTTCAGCAAGGCTGAGATGTGGGAGCTGTGAGATGTGCCAAAGATGCCCATTTCCCGGAGCAGCTCCCACTTCAGGTTCCCCTGCAGAACCCATTCTATAGAAACCATCATGTTCAGTATGACTACAAAGTTACAGACAAAATAATTCTGCTTCCAAAAAAGTTTGCAAGATGCAGACACAACCTTCTTCTAGAAGCCCAGGCTTTTTGACGGCCTAAGGAGCTACATCACACAGGGGAAGGCTTTGCACTCTCACCTTATGCGAGGGTAGCAGCTGTGGGTTGCAGAAACAGGAAATAAAAATGCTCTTTAGGGAATCAGACTGACAAAATTGCCAGCTAAATCCAGCCATTTAAAAGAAACAGGGTTTATTTGTATTCACCCCTCTAAGATGTGGTATACTGTATCCCAAGAATTTTATGGGTTTTTGGAATTTTTGTTGTGCTGCTGTTATGACTTTGTTAGACCTTAATAAGGCAATGCAATTAGTGTATTTCGCAAGTCATTTTTAAGACTTGCTAATTTCTGGTGTGGAAAAGACATAGCAATTTATTTCTTTTTTCCTGTAAACTTCTGTGGAAGACTCACAGCACCATGTCATTAAATTCAGCTCTGATGACCTGAGGTGCTCCAAAACCATGAGTCCTGTTGTCTTGACTTTCAAAACATCAGGGCAACAAGAACAGACAATAGCTATTATTATGAGTCTTCTAGGTCTTTTAGTTTAGTATCCTTAAGTATCCTGCTGCAATAACAGAGACATGAAATGCTGACTTAAAACAAAAAAATGTGGCAGAAATTCTTGCATCCACATGAATTAAAAGCCTAAATTTAAAGCATCACCCTCAAGTCCTGAACAAACCAAACCAAAACTCACAGATAAGACAGGTTTCATGAAGATGCAATAGCAATTGAAGTGAAATTATCAGAAATCATAAAAATGAAATAGTTTTTCTGGTATGTTATACCAAAGGTATAATCAAACAGCATCTGACATCTGTACTTCTGAACAAAATAGACAGGCCATACTTCTTGCCTACTTGTTGACCACTGTCAAAGACTAAACATGGTTTTCTTAAGTCAGCTTTTCATGTCCTTATGAGCTAACTGAAAAAAAGATCATCAGAATTATTTCTGGTATATGTGATATCAAGAATAAGGTCTTTGCTTAGAAACTAAGAAACTCTTAAGCTATACATTAACAAAAAGCATAAAAAGCACAGTCCTCCTGAGTTTTCATTGTAGGATTATAGATACTTTATATAAAACATACATATACAAACACATGTAATATTTACCCTCTTGTGTAAATAGAGCAAAATCATTTGAAGTAATTGACTCAGTGACAATTTTTCAGGCTAGCTGCTCTTTTTCTCTTGTCCTTTTAAAAATTTCCTTTTTTTTTTTTAAGCACAAGCATAAATGCATTTCCGATAAAACACATCAAACAGATAAACAATACTGATGTAGAGGTTATAGGGGAGGCAAAGGAAGGAGTTCTCTAAAGAACTTTAGAACAACGTATCATAATTAAGGTCACTTCAGACACAGCCACCCAGCAGTCAGGGCAGTTGTAGCCTGACCAAAAAAGATGTGGGACTGGCCTAGTTAAAGGCATTTCCTCCACTGAGGAAATGAATGACCCATGCAGGCCATCATGGCCATCGTAGAGATGGATGCCAAATTCGTAAGGGCAGAGGTAAAGGTAATTGTAAATCTTCTAGTTGGTTGTCCTTGCTATCAGCTCAAATTGATGCAGGCAGCAGCACCAATATTCTGTCAATGCTGACAAAAGCTTTATTGGTACATCAACACTCAGCGGGCCCAGGTTTAGCTGAGCACTGACCACATCTCCCAAACTCACAGCAAATAGGGAAGCTCAAACCTGTTGAGGTTGGCTGGAAGATCTGTTACCCTGCCTGTGCTCTGAGCAAATTACCCCAAGGCATTCAGACAGTAAACCTGTTACACAGCACTCAAGAGGTACAGAACATGTTTTTAGAAAAAAATAAATGCACAAATAAACATGTACCAGGACATTACTCTTGAGGGAAAACAGCTGGACCATCATAGTGGAAACAGTGAAAAAGGGATACAATGTCATTTTGCTAAGCAAGTATGTTGAGGAAAGGCAGACAGGACACATAAACCAACCAATAAAAGGTTGGTTTTCCACAGCAGTATCTGATATTTACAAATAATAAAAGCCTCTGTCTTAGCAACAAGATAAACCCCAGGCTGTCAGGAGCCATAAAACTGCTAGTACTCCAGTACAGAAAAGCAGGACTATGGGAAATGCATTTATTGAATTGTCCTCTGTGTCTATCTTATTGTCTTCACAGACAGTCACTGCTTCAAGATTAATCTTCTTGGGATATTAACAAAAAGATGGGCTGGTTTTACTTCTGTCATTGTGTCAAAGCATTATTCCATTGCAGTAGGTTGCAAACCTCATCTGGTTTAATGTATGCCCAATTTCAAGGCAAGAAAACAAATTATACAATTGGTTCATCCAGACAGTTTTTGTTTTTCTGCTTAAACAATTTTCTTTGATATGTTGGTAATATTTAGTAATATAGAAGAGTGTATTTAACACTGTTGTTAGGACTACCTACACAGGAAACACAGAGAAACTTGGAGCTAATTCAGCAGCATTAATAATCCATAAAAACATCCACGAATTCACTTCCAGCAAAATCATACAGTTACTGAAGATGTGGCTCCATGAATCTTCTGAGAAAACAAAGCCAAAAACAAACCACAAAAACCCAACACCACAGACAAATTAAAACAAACAAACACAAAACCAAACAAAAATCCAAAACCAAACAAAAAATAAATCAACCAAAAATTTTAAGTTTTTCTTTTCAGATGAGATGAAATTAATAAGGAGACAGAGGCTGTAAGTATAATCCTGGCCAAGTAACAATAATTTAAACTGTGCATTGTGTAATGGTTACTCTGATTTACACAATCCATTTTAAACTCTTTATACAGCACAAGGCAAATTAATTAAAAATAGGCATCCTTTAGAAGCACAGGCTAAATACTGCAGGATCATATTAGTGGTTTATTCCAAGGTTTCAAGCAACTTGGGTTTGTTTCTTTGATAACAACACTGACAGGACCTTTGGAGTTTTTGGGATGTTCTTTTAAAAACAGAAGTACCAGGACTTTTAAAAGCATTAAATCATATCTACAGGGGAGAATGGCAGGGGGAGAAGTTGTAGCAGGTGGAAATAAAGGGGGATAATGACAAGCAGACAAAGCTTTGGAAACACAAAAATAATTGCCTTGAAAGAGGAACAGGGCACTCTTTCAACACTGCCTGCCCATGACAAAGAAGAAAATCATGGATAGAAGGAAAAAAAAAAGAAAAAAAAAAAGAAAAAAACCACATCACATTGTCCTGCCTCCAGTTTCTAGGTAGGCTTATTTTGACAACCAAGGAAAATGAGTGTGCAAATGGAAAAATGGAATCAGCATGCGTACCTCGCAAAGTGCTATATTTAAGATGCCTCAAGCACACAATTTATTGAATAGCCATATTCCATTGTGTACTAATTTGTCAGATTGCTGTTGAAAACATACATAAAATATGATTTTTAAAAATCAGATAAATAAAGACAAACCTGTATCTTGCCTTCTGCAAGAGGTAACACAAAACAGTGAGCAAGGACTGAGGATGCAATCACACCATCAGGCTATTTCATTCAGTCAAATAAATTCCTGTTCCTGTTGTTTTTTAAATACATCTGGATATACCTGAACCTGACCTCCAGTAATTAAGATCACTTTTATAAAAAGTATAAATGAAGCAAGATGAAGTGTTTATGTAATTTTCAAAAGGCAAGGAAAATTTCATTAATATATTATAAACTCACTTTTGCTTTAGCGCTCTGTGATCAATTAGTCCTTTTTCATTTTCATGTGCACACAGATACTTCTGCTCCACAGGACCAGAAGAAATTAACATCTGTCTTTCAGTAGCCCTAAAAGAAAAAAAGAACAAAAATCACTCTCAGGTCTTGTGCAGCTTATAAAAAAGAGGATGTTTAGGGTTCTAAAATGCCAGTGGCAGAAACAAGAAAGAAGAAAAATCAACATATCAAATACGTCATGATTTTATATGCTCGTGCCTCTTAATCAGTTTCTCAGTTCAATTATCCAACTAACAAATTAAAAGGGAAAATGCAGAAAGTTGTACCTGCTTATATTCTAAGTACTACACAGTTACAAATCCCAAGAAAATCAGACCTCTCAGAGTTGCAGGGTAACATCCATCTTCATAATCTGGCATCCCCAAACTTCTGAGAAAAACTAACCATTGCAACATGTAAGGGGTGAGCAGAAAGAGCTAATTACACAGCATTTCAATACATTTCTATTTAGCTAGAATCTTGAAAAATTGTTTTTTTCTGGAGGTTAAGTCAAAAGCATCAAGTCAGCTTTGCATTACTCCAGCCACTCTAGAAGATCTCCAAGTGCTTCCTGATCTTACAGTTCCTGGCCATTTGCTCCAGCTCATCACTAGGAACAATAACTCTAGATATCCATTTTGCTATGAGCCAGTCCACTACTTTCTATTTAACCTTTGTGTCCACTTCTCTCCCTCCTCATAGTCTTGTTATTTCTTGTTTTGGTAGATCTGTTGTGGAAGCCAACACCAACAGTTTTACCCTGTACCGGGGAAAAGGCAGAGCTAAGAGAGGGGATACTGTTATGCTGCCAAGAATTCATGGCAATCATAAAACATTAATTTTTTTCCTAACCTCCTCTCTCTTCAGAACATCTGAACTCTAAAGATGCTCTAGAAACTGTTCCAGCCTCAGTTGCACTCAACACACAAAAGACTGTTATTGGAAATGACATATAAGTTTGCCATATTTATAAGGGGAGTTCTCCCTTTCCATGAAACAATATATTTCAGCCATGTAGTTAAATGAAACAACAAAAAACTCCCTTAGAATATTCTCTGTGTGGCTCTTGGAAACAATTGATTGTTAAAGTGGAAGGCAGCTTCATATTTACCTGGTAATGTCTATGTGTGAGCTCCACATACACACATAAGCAGTTTCTATTGTGGGAACACTTCCACTGAACCAGTGACAGACACAGGATGCTATTCCCATGTCCTAATCCAAACTGCTGGAGATGTAAGCCACATTCTAATTAGCCAAATTTATTACTTCCACACAGAAAGCGTTCAGCTATTGCACTCTAAATTCCATGTCCAGCCAAGGACTTTGTTCCTGTTTCTGTCAGAGAGGAGAGGTCAGCACAATCCATACACAGTCACAGGATGAGCCAAGGAAACCAGGATAAAGAGGTGGCAGCCAGGAGTGCACCAAAAAGCACTGGGGATAGCATTTATATGAGAAATACAACAGGGAAATACTGCTGACAGCTCTGGGAAGGTCCACAGTGATTTCAGCTGACCCAGAAAGAGACTGTGATGATGATGATTTCTTCCTGCCCTGAGCAATGCCCTCTCCACCCTGTCACTGGTCCTGGCAGGGTGAGCAAGTTCTGGGAACTGGCCTGACTGAGAAATAATTCTGCAAAACAGAAAAGATGGTTGGTTTTCACCTGGGCTCAAGCACTGCATGATAGGAGCTAGGAGCATGCAAACTCAGATTTCATCGTTGTTCTCTGGCACCACAGGAGGACCACACACCCAGCTGTGGATGCTACTATCTGCAAAACTTAACATGGTTTCTCTTCTCACTGTAATTCAGCCTAACATCAGGGAGCAATGGAGGAAATGTGAGTTCACATCTACTGTGACCTATCAGAACTGTGAATTTTACATTAGTTCAAAACAGTGTCTCGTACACTCAAGTCATGAGTCCTTGAACTAGATCAAAAGAAATTATTCTTACAGGATTTTGTTCAAGATGTACCGAACTGACAAAGATAATTTTGAACTACATCACCAAGAAAAGCACTGCAGTGTTAAGAAAAGAGAGTCAGAACTATCTGCATATAAAGATACAACTTTCAGTTTTGTAACAAAATACTCTTTTTGTTATAGGTGCTTTTCCATAATTTTATACCCAAAAATGCACAGAATATATTGACTTTTTACTCATCCTAAAATACATGACTGAATGCATCTTAAACTTGCTTGGATTTTATTCTGTATTTCTTGATGACAAAACATATTTCAGGAACAGCAGCTCATTTACTCAATTTCCCTGTAAAGAGAAGGATACCAGCAGCTTATTTTCCAGGAAGGAGACTAGATAGGGAAAGATTTTAATGTAAACTATATTCACTAAGATTTGATATTTTAAACTTTTTTTTTGGAGTCTGCAGAGCTTCACAGCAAAACTGTTGCACTCATGTTACTGCAACTGCATGCTCTTTGTGGGACAGCATGGCTTGACCTGCAAGAGCTGACAAACGGCCACATGTGAGACACAGTCTGTGCAAACACCCCTGACAAAGTCAGAAAGCTAAACATCCAAAGCAACATCCTAACTGCCCTAAACATAAGGACATGTTTTCTTCTGAACCCCCTGCTGAAATCGTGGTATATCCACCCCTGTACTTTGGATGAAGTACAATATACGGAGTAGTCTTCTTCACAGCCGACACCCCTACCCCCAAAGAAGGAGCTTCCAATAAATCAAATGGACAGGCCCTTGGTGCAGAGAACTGAGACTGGCTGTGATCTCATACTTGAGGCCTGTGATAAATCTTACATGCTGTGACTTGGTCTTCTTCCTGCAATCCCCTTCTCTCCAGTGGTGTAAGAGCATTTACCTCAGGAGTTTCACAAATACTTCCACAAGGACAAGAGGATCTATCTCCCTGTGCAGTTTAGTTCTGCTCATGGGCTCAATTTGTTTGGAAGTAACTCTTATCACTGTTTATCAGGCTTTTGTTTGGGCTGTTAATCACCTCAGAGTGCACAACCTGGACTCCTTTTGGATGAAGGCAAATGCTCTGCAGTTCTAATCCTCTGGGATTAATCCTACTGTGACTAATGCAGCCTTAGTGCTAGAGTCCTTTCCTTTGACAAAAAATGCATTTTGGATTGGCAAGCTGCTCTCTACAGCCAGGATTCTTGGGTGTAAAAGGGACCACTTGGAGGTCAGGATTTCTCTCCACAGCCAAGACATTCAGAAAAGCATAACCCTGCTAGACTTACAATAGATGAGAATGGAAGTAAAGGATGGGAGAATCAACAAACCTCTCATCCAAATACACCCAACAAAAACACTCCACAAACTCTGCCCCTTCCTCCCTCTCTCCCCTAAGAAACCCCAAACAAACAAAGAAAACCTGCTAAACGAAGAGCCAGAACATAATAATTGAGGACAATCTCCCTGGAATCTGTTTTCTAAAAATATATCTAGTTTCACAATAAAGTTTAATAATCCACTATGGAATTATTAAATCCTTATATCTGGACCAAATCCAGAGTTTCCTTTGATAAATTGACTTTCAATATACCTGTGACAATTACTATCTCTGGCTAGCTCATTATTTTACCCTAAGACTTGCAAGCATTTAAAAGTAAGTTCTTCAAAAGGCTAATAGATTAAACAGAGAAAATCTTAGCTATAATGAAAGTTTGACAGTGCTTCATTCAAATGAAAACTGGCTATGAAGGAAGTTTAAATTAATTAATGGCATGGTTCAGGAATGTTGATGCCCTGTTAAAAACCACAAGGTAAGAACCCAATTTTACATTTCACATTTGTTACAGTTACTGAAAATAAAAAAAAAAAACAGATACAGATGAAGAGCTAGTAAATGCCAGTTTTAAAATGCCATGAGAAGAACACAACTATATCCAGACTGATATTTGCTGCGCCACGAACAAACTCACCCACTGATTACTTCTGGAAATTTTTGAGAAGCTGTTTCACAACAGTATGTGAGGGATTCCAGCCCACTCTTCTGTTGCTGGTATTTTTTAATCAGGTCCATCAGCACTGCCTGGTGCCCAATCTTCTTCACCAGCTGCTGCACCATACGATCATTAAGAGCCAGAAGAGCTGCTCCACTTATTTCTTCTTCTGCAGATTGAAGGGGATAAAATCATTACTGTAAAATATCTTTATAGTTACAGTTACATTCTGTATGCCTAAAAACATGGTGATGGAAGATGGGTCAAAGGGAAGGATGCTTTGTACTGCTGACAGTCATCTTCAGCTGTCACCATCCTTTCCCAAGCAGTGCCAGGAGTCCTAATCACTGCCCAGATATCTTCCCCTGACATAGAGCCAAGTCTGAAACACACAGAGGCAGAGGTGACAATTTTAATGCTGTAAATCAGGCCTTGCTTGAATCACAGGAGACTGTTGCTTGCTGATGAAGGAAATAAAGCTTTTTAACAGAGTACACAAGAAATAGGCTGTTCACATTACAGTTTCTTGTGCACTCTTCTGTAGAACATATAACATTTACACACCACATTTGCATTATTTCAAGAGATTTCTACAACATAAAATAGGCCCTGGCAGGACTTTTAAACTGCCATTTCCGATTTGAGGTGTGTCTATTTATATACAGGCTTAATCTCATCCCCCAGGATTTCTCAGACTCTGTAACAAATCTGTACACTTATGTTGATTTATCAGATCTATGTCAGCTCTCACACTAATAAAGTTCTATAAAAGTCTGAGGTTAGTATATACACACATGCCCCAAACCAAAACAAGGTAGGCAGTGCCAATAAAATGCATAGCAAAATATACTAAACAAACAGCACCACCCCCCCAAACAATAAAAATGCTTACCACGGAACTTAGGAACTAGTTCTCCTAAATTTCTCAGTTTCAACCAGTTGCAGACTTGCTCAACTGACCAACTTTCCATCTTCAGTTGTTTCAATACTAAATTTCCCTCTGAAATGAAAATAGGGGATTATTTTTGTGCTGAGCTCTAAGCCAAACTCAACATTTCCTAGCAAAAAATGCACTTAGCAAATAATATATCTACATGCCCTGAATAAAAATAGTGCTAAATAATCCAGTTAATGTCTGTTGTAAGCGGCAGTTTGCTTGGATCCCTTTCCTCACCTCCTTTCCCGTCTCTGGCTTCCCTCGGTTCTGAGGCAGACTCATTCCTTATAAAACAAGACCTGCTCCGGTACCATTAACACCCAGGTTTCCACACAGAGAAGAAAAAAGGTGTGAAATTCACCACCACCATCAGGCTCATCAGGAAATGGCTGACATTTTACAGAAGGAAAAAAAAAAACAAGCCACCCCACCACCAGATAAGAGTCTGTCACATCCATGCTTACAGTCAGTCAAACACTTTAACCCCCTCTGCACCGCCTGGCAGGGCAGGTACCCAGCAAATACTTAACCCTGAATTACCAACAGCTAGGCACAAGGAAGGGGAAAGGGAGGAGGCTGCTCCTGCTGTTATTTGCTGGTTCCTTGCTCCAGTAGTACCTGGGAGGATGCCGTGGGTGCCCTGGGAAGGCAGAGTCTCTGGGGCTGCTGGGACAGGCGCATCCACCCTCTGGATGAATCCTGCACATACCATGCGCGCCCCCCTGCCTGAAGGACTCACTCGGATGACGGGGGGGTGCAACACACCCCAAAACCACCAGCGACCTCCCCAGAGGAAGATTACTTGTAAAGGCACAGCTTGTCCCACACTGCAAACTTCTCAGCAGAGCAAACTCTCTCTGAGGGGAATTTTCTAATTATTTTGTTTTAGCTCAACCTAAAGGAGGACCAAGTGCTCCACAACCATGCTTGCAGTCCACAGCAAAGCACTATTGGAGTCCATTTTTCAGACAAGCATTTGAGTGTCTGGCATTGTTGGCCCAACATTTCTTTCCATACCCTGAGCCTCCAGCAAATTCCAGGCTAACATGAGGATTCACCCTCACAAACCTCATCAGCATCTGTGCTCAAAAGAAAAGGGAAAAAAAAAAAAAAAACAACTCCTTGAATAAAAAAATTCTTCCATTTCCATCCTTCAGCAGCAGAGACCCTCCAAAAGACACACACTTCAGCCTACATTCTTATGCCTGTCGACTTCAGCACTTAGAAGGGTTAAGTTTAAGAGGAATGCCTTTCTGAATTACATGAGTGGGTTTAATTTGATATGACAACAGTAGCCATACAACTCCTCCCCCAGGCTAAGCAACAAGAACAGGGTGTGAAAAGTCATTATTTGTTGAGAACTCTGGTGTAAATTAAAAATCACACCTTTCTGTCACACTTCTTACTTCCTTGCAAAGAGTAGGGAAGAAAAAAAAGTCTCCAAAACCTTGAAAGATAAAACCGAGTGCAAAGCAGAAAGATACTTCCCTTATCAACCCAAGCAGTGTAAAAGGAGAGAGATACATTTAAATGTTGGAAAGGTCACTTTTTCACCCTACAAGAAGACTAACACCCTAGAACAATTCTTCTAAAGCAGACAGGCAGATACCGACACTTCAGAAAGTGTCAAGCAAACTCTAGTGCCATGCACAGCAATGTGCACATTTAGCCCTGGGTGGCTAATTCTACAGCAAAATGGCCACTTGCACATGGAAATGCAGGCTGCACAGTTTATTGAGGGAAGTGATGATAGCTTAGAGGCTGGTTTTTTAAAAACAAGATTATATACATTAAGAGTCATGAAACATCAATACCTGAAATGCTTCTCAAAAGTGTTTTCAGTTACTTGCATCTGCTATAGATAAAGCAACAAGAAAATGAGCACATCAGTCTTCTATCAGTGTTATGGAGACAACAAGGACTGAGCACAGATGCTGATATTTGCCTTCATTAATGATTCCACTTATTACAGTAGCATCAAAAGACTACCCAGCAAAGGGTTGCCTGTGTTGAATGTGGTGAAACCTGTGAATATTTATATTCCTCAATCAAGTCTTATAAGTCGGAATAACAAAAACCCAATAATGGAAACATTTAGAGAGCAATTTACAGTGTAAGTGCAAGTCAAATTCAGAACAGTTCTAAAAACAGTTCTCTGTTTGTTAGCAATATAGCCAATCACTGGGACCCATTTCTTCATACACCTGGGCTCAATAACTACAATTAGGATTTAACTACTCCTGGTTTATGAAATTAAGTGATGAAATCAATGAAAATTACTTTTCCCTAGAATGTGACAGGAGAACACTTATATTTACTATAAAATTCTTCAAAACTGAAGGATGAAAATCTCAGGTATAAAGATGTATCAATGGTACAGATTTCAGCTCACATAGTTGGTTACTCAATAGCAAGAGATGGGGATCCTGACCAGCAATGCCTGTGCTGGCAGATGCATACTACATATGCGCCAAATTATTCCGCAGCTTGTCCACAGCTGCCACAATCTTGAAGTGACACTTCTAAATGAATAAGCCAATATATCAAAACACTTGAAACATGACGAGTGAGTTATTATGTTTACCTATGAGAAAGCCTATGGCACCACAGACTACAAATAGCACAACTTTTGGCAGGCCTCCATGAGGTTTTCAACAATGTTAGAGTTTAGGTTGATTTTAGCACATTTTAGTACTAAAGGAATGTGTAAGGCATGTGCTGTGTGCATAGCTATACATCACAGCTGTATGACACATTTTGTAAAGGGCCAGGTCTCAAAGTTACAAGTGTGATGAGTAGGAGTTGGTGCATATCAAAAATATAAGTAAAGTATCCCATGTGCAATTTTATGCTGTCTTAACTTGGCTTCATCTTCAAATGCACTAGAGAGACTATTATTTTCTTTCCACTTACTACCAACCTATTTTTTAAAACAATTAAAAATAGATTCAAACAAATGTATTCAAGACAGAATATGTAATCTCAGATCCAGTGCTGAATTATCATGATAAGAACAACAGTTGTCCACAAACCTTTTCAGTAACATATAGGAAAAGGATCTGAAGTAGAATCTCTGTCACCTTCCCCATCCCTTGAAGAAAATGCCAACAACATATTGCTGTTATTTATCACATGTTTATGCTAGCATGAGCCATAGTGCAGAGATGCCTGAAAGAAAGGGGGAAAAAATCCCAATATGAGTGAAGAAACAAATAAAGTCAACATACCAGTTTTCATTTCTGTGCCACTGTAGAGGAAGACACATGCAGCTGCAAGACAAGGAGAGATGCAAATGTACAGCAGATGCAAGAGAAAACCCATATCACCTAGGAGAAAGGCTATATAAGAAGATTTAGGAAGAAAACAAGCACATCCATTAGTCAGCTGTAGACAAAGGGATACAAGCCAGACAAACCTTTTAAAATTTGGTCAGAGCGAATAATTTATGACTAACAGAATCAGAGGAGGATAATGAGAAGTAAAATAAGCCCTTAAAACACCTTTTCTTCCCCAACCCCTCCCTCCTTCCCACCAACAGCACAGAGAGACAGGGCATTGGCGTTTGGTCAGTTCATCACCAAGATTTTCTTCCACTGCTCCAGGAGAGGAGTCCTTCCCCTGTGAGGCTGTGGGGTCTCTCCCGTGGGAGACAGTTCTCCATTAATTTCTCCTGTGGGTCCACTTCCCACAAGTAGAAGCCCTACCACAGCTGCTGCAATGTGAACTCCTCCCTGGAGGCAGTCAGTCCTCCCAAAACTGCAGCGACATGGGGCTCTCTTTCCACAGGGTGCTGTCCTCCAAGGACAGGCTGCTCCAGCCTGGAAGCAGGGGCCCTCTCTCCACCAGGTCTCTCATTGGATCACAGCCTCCTCCAGGCATCCACCCACTCCAGAATGGACTGTGGGTGGATCTCTGCATTCCCCATGGATCCCCACAGGCTGCAGGGGCACGGCTGCTTCACCATGGTCTCACCATGGCCTGCAGAGGAATCTCGGTTCCAGCACTTCAAGCACCTCCTCCTCCACTGACCTTGGTGTCTCCATGTTGGTTCCCTCACATGTTCTCACCTCTTCCCAGACCAGCAGAAACACCTTGTGACTTTGTTTGGACTTCCTTCTTAAATATGCCATCACAGAGGCATTACCAACCTCTGTCATTGGCCCAGCTTTGGCCAGCAGCACATCCATCTTCAGAGCCATCAAGGATTGGCTCTGCTGGACATGGTGGAAGCTTCCAGCAGCTTCCCATAGGAGCCATCTTTGTGGCCCACTGGCTACCAAAAACCACGACCTGGAAAACTAATCACCTTTAAGAAAAAAGTATCAAATAGAAATACAATGTTACTGGGCAGTGAGAACCGTCAAAAAGTCAAGCAAAGGTTAAAAATTCATGAAACACAAAAATGAAATTTCATGTACCAAAAAGAAAGCAATCAGACTGAAGATATTCAGTATGACATGGACACTGCTCCAGAAGACTAAAGAAAAAAAATAATTTCATCTTGTAAATGATATCATGCTGACTTTTCTCCCCAAAGCGCAAGTTTCTCACCAGGGCCATGAGTACTGTGTGATCATGCTGCTGCTTGCTGGCTTACTACAGGACTCCAGCTCTTGTCACTGGGCAATACAGAAACCTTGGGCACTGCAATCCCCCCTGGCCTGAACTGGCAATCATAATCCAGCTCTCTTCCCTGCAGCCATTCATGTGGTCATGCAATCAGCAGTGCAGGCTGAACTGAAAATATCGTGTTTCGGTGGGTTTGGATGGATCAGTATCTTTAACCAACTTGCTGGCCAATTGTGTGAAAATAGATGGTAGAATCATATCTGTAGATTTATCATGGTGTACATTGATCCTTCTTTCAATGCGTTGGAACAGTGAAGATTTCTATCTTAATGGAGCATTGGTTTGTAAAGTTAGGCCAAAACCCCTAACTGTGAGTAACTACTTTACCTAAAAAAAAAAAAAAATTTATATGTACCTATCTCTGGTCCCTCAAATTGTTTTGCTGGAATGATACTGGCTCTGCTTCTTGAAAGGTTACTCTTCAAGCTTTTTTAGTAAATAAGACTAGTAAGATGTGGAATACTCAACCAACCCAGGCTGATCCTCTAATTGCTGAGAAGGATGGATACAAAGTTCTATTATTTGCTTGCTCTGCTCTTGATTTAGAGCCGCAAACGAGTTCAGAGAGCTGAACCAGCAGTCAGTTGTAGTGACCTTATAAAAAATGTTTAATGCTAACTGAAAATAACAACTTACCAAGTCTATTCTGATGGAAAATGCTTAGTGACATTTTATAAGTAGTTTAACCTGCAGATCCTCAAAGGTGCTAATGTTCAACAAAGCTGCTTTCTGTTGTTCCCAAGGGATGGATACAGAAACCTTTTCAGCCTGGGCAACATCTAGAAAATGATGTATATCCTTAACTGAGTCAGTATAGCTGAACTATGACATTAAGTGGGGGCTCCCATGTGGATACGTGGCATTTACACGTTTTTCTCATGAGTAAGTGATCGACACAGCTCTTACACCTTCAGTACACAAAAGGTGTTATAAAATATCTCTTGAATTTTGTTCACACACTTTAATTGCTCTTATTATATATTACATCTTGTATTTAAAATTAGATTTTTCAGCCATGTTTTGTCAATGTAAGATTTTGTCAAGCCAAAACTCAATCATGCCCCAAGTCAGGACTGTGACTCTTGGCTGAGAATGGTCTTGGCTAGTCTCTGAGAAATACACCATCGTCAGGTACAGCCACATGTCTGAGACAGCCCAACCTCAAAAAGAGCTACAAGCTATATCTAGAAATATTTATCAGGCAGGAAAGAAACAAGAACCTCAACAAAATTTTTAAATTCTCCTGCCATTCAATCAGTAGGACGAACCAGCTAGGTAGAGTATTGTCATTATAGTGCAAGAGTTCTATTGTCATTACATTGCAAGGGTTCTATATTGCTAGAGTTTTGTACCTCCTTGATGTTTCTTGTAGGCAGCTCCTCTAGGCACTGACTCTTCCTGCTCCCCACAGCAGCCAACTGACTCCAGTTCCCGCTTAACCAACCAACCCACTCTTTTACAGCGCTCTTCTTATTGCCTACAGCTGCAACCTGTTAACATCAGGCCTGCTCCTAATCCTTAATAAAGGGCCCAGCTGCAGCTCTTTAGGGAGTAAGATTACATTCTATACCACTTTCATTTACCCATACCGTATCCCCCTACAGCAGAGGAGTGAGAGTTACTAGGAAGACATGGAAGCAAATCCTGAAATGAACAAAGTGCCCTTGTTGGTAAACACAGGTGCCTGTGTACAATCAGCTTTGGCCCAGAGGCCACTTCTCTGATGGTCATGGTGAGACTGAGGAATGGGGTCTGACCTGCTCAAGCAAAGACGCCTTTGGGTTTTGCTTGGCTTGTGCTGGAGACAAACAGTTGTGGGCTGGCTGGGGGCATGGCCATCTCTCCTACACTCACCTTCCCTCTTCCTGCAGCAAACTGGGCAAGACACCCCTGAGCAGGAGGAGTCATGCACCTCCTGGGAAGAGATACTGAATTCTTTTAGGAATCACTGAGTTGAGGAGTGGAGCACCACTGCTAAGCAATGCATGATGTTACCCAGCATTTCTGGATTGCTGTTTTAGCAGACTGAGGATTGCTGAATCATATGTTGCTAAGCACTGACAGTACTCCTCCAGCTTATTCATCACATAAATATGAATAGGATGATTAATAATTAAGTTTTAACACATTTCACCATGCACGTTTTTTGGTTTATATGATTCATTAAATAATGACAGCTCCAGACAGTCACAGATTGTTGTGATAAGGCATTATGTTGGCGTATGAAGCCAGGTGAGGTGGGTGTAATTGAGCTAGATGGTAAAACCAAACAGGCTGTCTCACAGTCCTATTTTATACACTACCAGCAACAGTTTAACTAATTTGGCATCCATTGGTTTAGACTCTTTTTGTTCAAGGTGCTCTCAAGGATGAGCTAAGTAATGTAGTATTAATTCAAAAAAGATACCCCACATGGTAAATGATTTAGTTCATTGATATCTAGGGCATGCACAGCCCATTTCTTACAACATACCACACTAAACCAGTGATTTCTGCCCACTGCCTGAGTGTGGCTGTGTCCTCATCATATCCAGATGAAGAAGAAGAGATGTAACCACTCCACATCTGATACAGAATGTTTGTTGAAACCATGAATGGAAAGATGGAAAGACATCAATAATGTCTACCTACACAATGGAGATAGGAAACTGGAAAGTTTGAATATCTGCAAATTCCTGTTTTGTTGGGATGACATATAATCATGACATAAGTAAAAAGATTCAAAGGCCATTTCAGAGGACTGCTTCCTCCTGATTTTTGCCTCTATTCCAGCTATGCAAATTTATGATGCCATGAAGAAAACCCCACTTCAAAAAACCCGTACGTGTATAAAACATTTGTTCTAGTGATAAGGGCGTAAGTTTCCTGGTCTAAGGATCTAGCAAGATTGTATTCTTAGACAGAATATCAATTACTGGTCCTACATTCTTGTTGATGGCTATAATTTGTGCTTTTCATGACTTCTGAATTATTTACGTGAAGAGGAACCTCCCAGTTCCACTGTGAATTGCCTCAGAGCCTCTTGGTTAGCACACAGGACACATGAAACTGCTTTTAAATTCTTGCTTCAGATTAGGCAGGGCAGGGATTTGAGGGTATATCTCAAGCCTTCACCCCACCATCCATTACAAAATGGGGTGGGATTGTCATTTGGAGGGGAGGACATGTCAGGAATGATATATCAGAAAAGGACCAATCTCAGCTTCAACACCTTCTCCAGGAGAGGGGCCAAAGTGAGGAATTCAAGGGTAAGTAAATATCTTCCTACAGGTTGAAGATATTGTGTCACAAAGCCACATCACAGTTGTGCTATGCTTCTACAGCTCATAATGAAGCTAAACTTCTTTTCCAAAAGCACTTAAAGAAATCTGCTTTGTGATTCAGCCTAAGCAGTTACAACATACACAGGAAAATGTAAGAGTTTCTAATTTAGCTTTGTTTCACTCATTCTGTGGCTCCTAAACCTACATATTTTAAAAATAAACATTTTCTGACTATAGATCTTGTTTACACTGCAGGCAGGCAAACTGAAGCAATACAAAATCAAAAGAGGTAAGAAATTCTTCTGCATGTGTCTAAAGTAGAGTGCTATCTTTTCACTGTTAAAAGGCCAATAATTTTAAGCAAATGCATGCCCCAAACAGCCATATACATTGTACATTATTTGTATTTACTTATACACCGGCTGAACATGAGAAAACATGTGGTATAGTTGGTTCATCAGTCAGGGCGTCACAAAGTTGTGGAGACAAGACTCAGTGAGGCATGAGAAGCGTGACACTGATTATGTGGAAGGTCATGATAAGATTTATTGCTCCTGCAGTAGCTAAATATTGCCAATACAGTACATAATACAAGCAGGTCTAAAGTGCTATAATAGAAACAGGTTTAGCTAGAGATTACACACAGGGTTACGGGCCTTACAGAATGCACAGCTGCAAAGCATCAAAGTACCTGAGGAGCTACTTTAGGGTTTTATCTCTGTGACTTAATGCTTTTACTCACTTGGTAAGAATTTGGTTTAAAATATTCATTGGACTAGTGACCAGCTTAAATAATGATGTAGACAAACAGCCATTTTGGAGAGAGCTGTCCTGATGTGAAGCATGATCTCCAGGTACTTACTGTTTCTCAGCTGGAAAGCTGTCACACCTCAGCTGTTTGTGACTCCCATAGACCAGTCTAGCTGAGCAGGAGGCAATCACAGGCACCATAGGCAGGATACCTTCCATCACCATTGGCTGGTTTTCACAATGAGCCCGATTGAAACATCAGATGCTG